ACCCTCCCCGCCAAGGTGCTGTGTGTAGGTGTTGTGAGTGAATTTACATATAAAGAGTGACCCCCCTGGACTTTGAGGAGCCTGGGGCAGGGATGGGGCAGGACAGGGTGGAGACTTTCTGATCATTGTAATTCAATCATCTTCCTCATCACCCTAGTGGTGCCGACTGGAACCCCCATTCTCTCCCTGGCTTCCCCTTTGATCATTCCCCCTTGATCATTAATAGCTAACACTGTCTGTATTCACATGATCAACCAAGAACTTTGGGACATCATTACTACTTTTCCTTACAGGGGCTGTGATTGGCTGGCACGTTGAGTGATTATGGTCAATGAACGAACCGGCCTCAGCTTTCCGGACTGTTCCGCTAGCAAGGCTTGCCCTATAAGGTGTCGGTCAGCGTGGTTTGAGGGCCTCGAGTCCTGACCTTCAAACGCTCAGATTTCACCATGAAAACGTACGTGCTCACATGGGCCCCGGCTTCCAGGATTTCGTTTCACAAAGGAAAGAGACGCTTACCCCATAAAGCTTGAATGCTTTATATTTAGCAGAGGCTTTAGTCCACAGAGACGCATACGGCAGGTGATACATCACAGGCGCACAGCTGACAAGGAGCCAGCTTAAGTACAAACGCAGCAAGACAGAGCTTCCAATGATGGACTGTTAGCAAGTGACAGTTAGCATAGGCGCTACGCAACACAGCCATCGGAAAGCAAGGGCAAGCTGGGCACCTACAGAAGCATCCAGCGCCGTTAAGGGAACGTGACCCGCACAGGCAAACAGCCCATCAGCATGGAAAACGACACGTCTCAGAGCAGACTGATCCAGCCCCAGCTGGGTGGAAAGTTGGTGACTATGCAAGAACGAGGGGCGTCAGATATTGTGAGAAATGGCAGGAGGGAGCAAAGCAATAATTCAGATAGGATGTCTACATAAGAAAAGGAGACAATTTTACAGCCCGGAGCGGAAAATATATCCGCAGCTTCTGTCAATATGGACTCCCGTTCTAATTTACGCCGGAAAGTCAGTTTGGACCGGGGTGGTGATTTAGCTGCTCGGCGCTTAAAGTGCGTTTCTGTGTATCACCTAACGCTCGTAAACATGGAGCGCAAAGACCTTAATGATGTACCGCCATCACGCTGACTCAGCACGGGACGCGGGGAGGACATTACTACACCAGAACGGGGACTTTCACAGATGGAGGCTTCACGGTCATTTCGGTGGGAATTTGGATGTCCAGGACAAAAATGAGAGATATTAAAAGCAATTAAAAGATTTTTTTTTTTTTAAAGAGCATGTTCTGCTTTGTTGAAGTCGCTTATTCCTAAAGTCAAATATGTAACGGACCAAAGCTCCATACAGACAACACAGAATTAGTACTATACCTACTGGGTAATTCGTGATTAATTAGTGATTAAGGAGGAAACACAAACACCATTCAGGCCTCGCATAATAAACCGATCAATAGCCGTAATGTCCTGCTCCTTTCTCTGTGCTGGGAGCATAAAAACCAGATTTAAGGACTACACTGAAACACCGGGGTGCAGCGATGCACCCTGGGTAAAAACAAACAACTCGGACGGGTGATTAAGCCTTGTCAGCAGAGCAAGGATGAGACAAGCGCATGGTAAACAAGTGTATGCTTCAGGGGAGGGTCTAAAAGAGGAGGGGGATTAGCTAATCGATACATCACCTGTGTTACCCAAACAGACCAGTGGGACTCAAGAGAGTTTTAGGGAGAAAATGTCATAATATCACGAGTCTCTCTTCAAGACGAGAAATCTGTAGTGATGTGGGATCAAGCCCGCAGTGCATACTGGGATGGGTAGCGAGGACAGAGCCACTGTAAAACAAAAACAAGTTAGCGTATGAATTAGCAGACAGACAGCACACTGACCTCTCTCGCTACCCTGCTTTGAGATTAACTTCTCGCTGCTTGACTGTTATCGGTGTCAGGACTGTCACCAGGAGCCCCCCCGCTTAACCTCTGAGGTGGACCAGGCCACAGAACGCAGGAGAGGCTCATGAGAAGGCGCAACACATGCCACAAGATGGTCAAAACAGTGAACATACCAGAGTCTCAGAGAGCTTCTCTGTAAGCGGTCTGCGACTGTCTCCCGTAAAACGCTGTAGCGCTCTCTGGTGTTCGGCTGGTAAATCTACAGCCGCTGGGAGATTCACAGTACAGGAAACGCGTATGTGTGTGTGTGTACCAGGACAGAGAGAGATGTCCACCTTGCCCTTTATGCAGATTTCCCGCTGGGATCGCCCACCTGTTAGGTTTGTGGAGCAGAGTCCCACCCCCGCGTCAATTTTCACACTTTGGTGTCTTTCTGCTGCACCCGCCTGTCAGCCACACCACTAGCCATACGCTTCAACTTCCGATTCCTGCTGGAGGAGGTTGCCATGGTACCCAGGAGGGCCCGCCACCTTCCAGAGCCAGGCGGCCTGCAGTGTGCTTTAGCCCCGCCCACATCACACCTCCCGGGGGACCCACATGGTCACTTTGTCCTCACCTTCAAATGTTCTGTCCCACTCCTGCTTTTCTTTCCTGATCTAATATTTGTCTTAAGGACTGTCTAAAGGAAATCAGTGGGGATTCCTCCAGACCCAGAACTTCTTAACAGGCAGACACTTGGACCTCACGGGCCTGTTTGAGGGTGGCATCCTGTTAAGCCACAGGATATTTTGTTATTTTTCTACGTACTTACGTAAAATAGCGTGAAGACGTCAGCTGGGGACTCTGGGACAGCTACAGCTCTTCTGTATTCCTGACAGCATCCAGCATCGTCGTCTTCCTTGATCACAGGAGAATTAATCGCAGAAAACACCCCCCACACGCCTGTCAAGAGTGCCCCCCCCCCCACAGAGGCCCACTNGACACACACACACTTGGGCATGTTTTTCAGACTGTGGGGGGACCCCACACTGACTTGGGAAGAACATGCAAACTCCGCACAGCACCCTGACCAAGGCTCAAACCCTGGTCTCTGAGGTGTGAGGCGAGAGTGCTACCACTGCACCACTGCACCACCAAGACACTCATGCTTTCCTACTTTAGGCTTAAAAAATTCAGGTAGACATCATGTGATAAGAACTTTCATTGTCATAAAATTCAGTTTCACAACAGGTAGACCAAGGCTGGGCTTGAACCCATGACCTTCTGGTCACAAGCACAGACACTTAGCCCACTAAGCCAGTATAGACACTCAACAACTCAGTCTCCTAGTTTACCTGAAACAGCACCAGTGCATAACTCATGGTGAGGAAAGGACATCCAGGTGAAATCAAAATAAAAGACAAGCAGGTCTTGAACCCATGACCTTCGGATCACAAGCACAGACACTTAGCCCACTAAGCCACACAAGACAGTACAGACACACAACAACTCGGTCTCCTACTTTAGCTGAAACAGCACGGGTGCAGAACTAATGGTGAGGAAAGGACATCCAGGCTTATCTTTAAAAATAAAAAAAGGGAGGGGTTGGCTTGAAAAATAAAGGAAATAAAAAAAAGGGGTGGTGGGGTGCTGGCTTGGTAGGGTAGTGGTTAACAGCATTGCCACATGCTCCCAGGACCAGGGTTCAAGTCTCCCTCCCATGCAAATTAGGAAAGGGCCTCAATCTTAATATTAAACAAGTGTGGCAGCAGCATTATAAAAATAGTAACTTAAATTATAATAATAACACAAAACTCTTAATCCCACCTTTCCCTCTAAACCCACAGGGAGGCCAAGGTTAGGCTTGAACCCATGACCATCAGATCACAAGCACAGACACTTAGCCCAGTAAGCCACACAAGTCAGTACAGACACTCAACAACTCAGTCTTCTACTTTAGCTAAAACAGCACCAGTGCATAACTAATGATGAGGAAAGGACATCCAGGCAAAATCAAAATAAATCACAGGCAGGCCAAGGTTGGGCTTGAACCCATAATCTTTAAATCACCATCACAGACACTTAGCCCACTAAGCCACACAAGCCAGTACAGACACTCAACAAGTCGGTCTCCTACTTTAGCTGAAACGGCACCTGTGCATAACTAATAGTGAGGAAAGGACATCCAGGCTTATCTTTAAAAATAAAAAAGGGTGGAGTTGGCTTGGTAGGGTAGTGGTTAACAGCATTGCCTCACACTCCCAGAACCAGGGTTCCAGTCTCCCCCCATGCCAATTAGGAAAGGGCTTCAATCTTATTATTAAACAAGTGTTACAGCATCATTATAATAATAACAACTTATAACTTAAATTATAATAATAAGACATAACTCCTAAGCTCATCTTTTCCTCTAAACCTAAAGGCAAGCCAAGGTTGGGCTTGAACCCATGACCTTCTGATCATAAGCACAGACACTTAGCCCACTTAGCCACACAAGACAGTACATAAACTTAACAACTCACTCTCCTTCTTTAGCTAAATCGGCACCAGTGCATAACTAATGGAGAGGAAAGGACATCCAGGCGAAATCAAAATAAAGGACAGGCAGGACAAGGCTGGGTTTGAACCCATGACCTTCTGATCACAAGCACAGACACTTAGCCCACTAAGCCACACAAGCCAGTACAGACACTCAACAACTCGGTCTCCTACTTTAGCTGAAACAGCACCGGTGCATAACTAATGGTGAGGAAAGGACATCCAGGCGAAATCAAAATAAAGGACAGGCAGGCCAAGGCTGGGCTTGAACCCATGACCTTCTGATCACAAGCACAGACTCTTAGCCCAATAAGCCACACAAGCCAGCACAGACTTTCAACAACTCGGTGTCCTACTTTAGCTGAAACAGCACCGGTGCATAACTAGTGGAGAGGAAAGGACATCCAGGCGAAATCAAAGTAAAGGACAGGCAGGCCAAGGCTGGGCTTGATCCCATGACCTTCAAATTACAAGCACAGACATTAAACCCACTAAGCCACACAAGCCAGTACAGACACTCAACAACTCGGTCTCCTACTTTAGCTGAAACGGCACCGGTGCATAACTAATGGTGAGGAAAGGACTTATAATAATAAATAAATATAATAAAGTCTTACAATAATAATACACAACCCTTATCCTCATCTTTTCGTCTATACCCACAGGCAAGCCAAAGCTGGGCTTGAACCCATGACCTTCAAATCACAAGCACAGACACTTAGCCCACAAAGCCACACAAGCCAGTACAGACACTCAACAACTCGGTCTCCTACTTTAGCTGAAACGGCACCGGTGCATAACTAATGGTGAGGAAAGGACTTATAATAATAAATAAATATAATAAAGTCTTACAATAATAATACACAACCCTTATCCTCATCTTTTCGTCTATACCCACAGGCAAGCCAAAGCTGGGCTTGAACCCATGACCTTCAAATCACAAGCACAGACACTTAGCCCACTAACCCACACAAGACAGTACAGACACGCAATAACTCAGTCTCCTACTTTACCTGAAACGGCACCGGTGCATAACTAATGGTGAGGAAAGGACTTATAATAATAAATAAATATAATAAAGTCTTACAATAATAATACACAACCCTTATCCTCATCTTTTCGTCTATACCCACAGGCAAGCCAAAG